ATTTGAACCCTAGCCTGTCTGGGACTTGGACCACCTGGAAAATCCAGGAGCTGCAGTCACCAGGGCCACATCCTGCAAAGCCCTGGGAGGTTTGCTGACTCTTGCGCTCAGCTGTTAATTATTTATACTCCCTGCCCACTCCCAAAAGTTTGAGTCTGCTTCCGGGAAAGACGTGTATGTTCAAGGAACAGAAAATCAGAAGCACAAAGCTTTGGGGGCAGCAGAGGGCCCAGCAGGACGAGGGCTGGGCACCCTGCCCCAGCTCCCACTGATAGCTGAGCAGTGACAGCGTCACTGAGCCCCGGTGAAGTCACCCAGTTCCTGGGAAGCCCGGCTATTTGTAGATTGCAGCTGGGATGAGTGTTCACAGGGTGCTGTGCTGAAGTGAAAGTCAGTCTTTTCCTCCCTCAGCCCTGGGGAGTCCCCAAGATGTTGCTGCCCTAGTCCCTGCCCAGCATTCAGTTCATTTGGAATCTTTCCCTCAGCAGGCCTCCGCTTTTCCACCCATGGGTCCCTGTGAAGCAAAGGAAAGAGAGGGTGTAGGGTTGGTGTCAGACGTGGGGGCATGGAGTCCATCCCACCTGGTGAATGTGACTCCACCAAGGGATGCATCTCTAGCAGCAGCTTCCTCATGTCTGAATCTGAGCCAAGGTGGTGGCGTCAGCCCAGTATCTGTTACCCCTTCTCCCGCCAACAGCCCTATGGGGGTTGCCCTTCCCTCACCCCCCGTCCCTAGAGTTAAAACAGGGCTGACCCCTTCTCCTGAGCTCCAGGATGGGCCTGAGACCCCTGCCTGGCCTATCTTACTTTATCTCCTGGCCACAGTGACTGATGTCAGGAATAGCCATGTGACTTAAGCCAAACCAAGTCCTGGCCCTTTGTGGGAACCTCTGGGAAAGTGGCGGGGGGTGGAGGGATGCGCCCTCCTCGTGGCCATCTTACTAGAAGAGTGAGGGTGAGACGCTCGCTCCTGATGACATAGTTTGGGCATCATGATCCAGCTGTGCCTAAAGCTGTTACGCTCTAGACTTGCCAGTAACTTAAGCTTGAGTTAGATCATTTAGAAAACTAAGAATGCAGAGAATCCTAATTTCCCATCTGTTATTAATAGCCCTTTAGAAGCATGAGAAATTTTGAACAACTGACATCAAATATTAAGTGCTACTGCTTACACGTGGACAGCAACACTTTTTTTTCCCACTAAAAAGGTATTTCATTAGGAAAAAAAAAACTCATCCCTCATGTACTCCACCTTTTTTTCTTTTTTTTTAAGATTTTTTATTTGAGAGAAAGAGAGAGAGAAGGAGCAGGGGGAGGGGCAGAAGCAGACTCCCCGCTGTGCAGGGAGCCTGATGACGACGACGACGTGGGGCTCCATCCCAAGACTCTGACTCTGGGATCATGACCTGAACCGAAGGCAGACGTTTAACCAACTGAGCCACCCAGGTGCCCCTCCACCATTTTTTTTCTTAAAATACATAATAATAATGAACTAAAATACAAGCCTTTGGTTATGTGGACAAAAATTTCTCAGATATTTATTGAGTGCCTTCATTAAAAGTTGAACCCAATGTTTATGTGCCAGGCACTGTGCTAAGCCCTTTACATATATGACTTCATCAAATCCTTATATTATTATGCCCACTTTACAGAAGAGGCAGAAAGAGTCAAGTGACTTGCCCGAGATCAAGTTCCAGGCCCCAGGATGGAGCCTGCCCATCCTTCAGTGTCCTTGCTAAAGAGTTTCTTCTTTGGAGGACCTTCTCTGATCTCCCCGGTAGGAGGAAGTGCCCTCTGCTGCCATGGACTCCCCACCCAGGCCTGCCAGCCAGCTGATGTGCTGGGTGTGAGTCTCACACCCTGGGCAGGGTGTGAACTGGTGTGGGCCGAGGCTTCGCTCCCACGCAGGTCCATCCACAGTTGCAAGTGGGAAGTCTATAGCCAGCCTCAGCCCCGTCTGCAGCCACTTGGTCTCTTTCTCTGCTATCCCGAGAAGACCAGGCCTCAAGTGAGGGGTGTGCACGGTGGGAGGTGGGGGAGACCTAGACAGAGGGTCTTCATGCCTGGACAACTGGAGACCCCCAGCATCTCTCCAAGCCCGTAAGGTGTGGGAAGGAACTGGGACAGGGCTTCTCCCAAACCAGCTGTGTGACTGTATCCTCCCTGTGCTTGTTTCCTCCTGGTAAAATGAGGAGGTTGGTTGAGGAGAGCCCCCCCCCCCCAGGAATCCAAGGCAGGTCCTGTGGGAATGAGTAAGGCAGAAGTTTCTTTACTCGTCCAGGAAGCTTTTGGGGTTTCTGGCAAGCTGTCTGCGGGACTTGCATTCATTCATTCATCAATTGATCACCCCTTATGTGGAGGCAGTGTTTGATACTTTGGAGAGTAAGACAGGAAACGACCCCGTTGCCCAAGAGCTCACTCTGTAGCTCTGGTTTGGGGAGGCCTCCCAGCCTCCCCCTGCAGGGGCTGCAGGCTTCCAACTAGAGGATCAGGCCCTCCCGCCCTGGCTGTGGACGAGGACTCAGGGCTCGGAAGAGAGAGGTGTGTCCTCCCTCCAGCTCCGCCCCCTCCCTCCAGGCCACCTGGGCTCTCTGGGCATTAGTCTCTTTCCCTTCTAAGTAGGAGGTTGCCCTGGAGGACCCAGAAGCCTGCCCTGCCGGCCTGGGAGGGCGTCCACCTCTTGGGGAAGCCACGCACAGCCATTCGTGGTTAAACATTACCCATTCTGGGGCGCCTGGGTGGCTCAGTCGGTTAAGCGTCTGCCTTCGGCTCAGGTCATGATCCCAGGGTCCTGGGATCGAGCCCCGCATCGGGCTCCCTGCTCCGTGGGAAGCCTGCTTCTCCCTCTCCCACTCCCCCTATTTGTGTTCCCTCTCTCGCTGTGTCTCTCTCTGTCAAATAAATAAATAAAATCTTAAAAAAAAAACAAAAACATTACCCATTCTGTGTCCCTCATCCCTGACATGGCTCAGGGAGAGCCAGCCATAAGCGCTGCCTTCTTCAGACTTCCTCCAGGGCTGTGGCCTCCTGAGAGAGGCCACAGGCACACTTGCTGACTGTCTCCTTTCCACCCCAAGCTAGGGTCTGCAGAGGGAAAGACTGGGGGTCCAGGTCTGGGGCCTAGCCACTGCCCCCCTACCCCACAGATTTTTTTTTTTCTTGGTTACATCAAGAAACCAAGATTGGTTTGGATAGAGATCCTTCCCTGTGGAGCTCATGGACTGGCTTAATGAGCCCCTTAGGGGCCCGCCTCAGGCAAGATGACCTGGTCCTCTTGGTTTTTGAGGAACAAAAATCATCCAGAGACATTGAGGCAGCCTCCCTGCATGGGATGCCCCACTTCAGCCTCTGCTCCCCGACCCCTTTCAAGCAAGGAGGGCCAGACCCAGCTGTCATGCCCATCCCCCCCTCGCCTGGGCATTTACAATTAGGAGGCTTCATTAATCCCGGGTTCCCACAAATCTCACCAAGGGGAACGGATTCTAGCGGGATAGCACTTGACCATATGCAGAGAGCTTTCTTCTCAGCTCATTCTTTTCCATCTTCAAAGCAACTTTGTAAAATAGGTACGATCTCATTGTCATCTACAGCGTACGTATGACAATGTTGAGGCCGCATCGACCTTTGAGTGCCAAGTATCAGAGTCGCGTCTGACTCTAAAGCCCAGACTGGTTTCATGCCCAATTCTAGGCAGAGCAGGGGTGGCCACTCCCCCAGCCCCGCTCAAGGCAGACATCACTAATCAATCACAGCACGGCAGATGCTGCGACTCATCTGCCCTGCTCTTTTCTAAGAAGCTCCGAGGCAGCTGTGAACCCCTCAACACCGCCCTGCAGGACACCATTACCTATCAGAAGATCCCATCTACACTATTTGCCATTCCTGTGATCCCACACCATCAGCCTTGAGCCCTCAGGACTCAGATACAATCCGAGGTGCTCTAGTCACCAGACCACGGGACCCTGGGCACCGCACATCAGTTGCTATGCTGTTCTCGGACCGGGGTTCCTGGCTCCTCTGTCCCCAGACAGATGTCCCTTCCCTGCACGGTCTCCTTTAGAGATACAACAACCGTGCAGGTTCGCCTGAGGCTTCTGGGTTTGCTAAGTCTTTAATAGAAGTATTTATTAGGAAACACTTCAGGAACGCCTGGGTGGCTCAGTCGGTTAAGCGTCTGCCTTCGGCTCGGGTCATGATGCCAAGGTTCGGGGGTCGAATCCTGCATCGGGATCCTTGCTCAGTGGGACACCTGCTACTCCCTCTGTCTGCCTCTCTCTCTCTCTCTGACAAAAAAAAAAAAAAAAAAATCTTAAAAAAAAAAGGAAACAGGTATACGCCAACGTGTAGGTAATAATATTATCAGAGTGTTTAAGCCACAGGATACCACAGACACTGAAATCCCTGTATATCGGTGCACCCCCGTCACCACATTCTGAATTTCGTGTTTCTCATTCCCATGCACATTTTTATAGTTTGATTACATATTTGCGTACCCATATGATTCAACCTTACAGAAATGGTGTTGTTTGGATCTTGTTGCAGCTTGTGATGTTCAAACAACTGGACGTGACGGACTCTCAAGCATGATGCTCAGTGCAGCTCTGAATCGCCCAGCAGATCAGAGTTGCAAGTATTTGTCGAACTCTTCCTCTGTACCAGGCATGGTTGCGGGTGCCTGGCCCGCCTCACCGCATTTCACGTTCCTGACAGAATTATTTTTATCCCCCCTTTATAGATTTGAAAACAAAGGCACAGAAAGGTGAAATTAATTTTTTTTAAGATTGTATTTTTTTATTTGAGAGAGCGAGTGAGAGAGCACAAGCAGGGGGAGCAGCAGGCAGAGGGAGAGGGAGAAGCAGGCTCCCCGCTGAGCAAGGAGCCCGACGTGGGGCTCGATCCCAGGACCCCGAGATCATGACCTGAGGCAGACGCTTAATCAGCTGAGCCCCCCAGGCTCCCCAGAAAGGTGAAATTATGTCCCCAAGTCACATAGCTTGGAGGCTGTTCTCCTAACCGCTAGACACCGCTCCCTCTACTTCTGCGTGGTCTGTTGAATGAAAACACAGTAATTTATCCATCTGTTCTCCTATTTAAGGGCCATTGCTTATTTTTGCACACTTGCCTCAACACTGGTCTCCGAGGGTTTGGGGGTGGTTGTATTATCTTGCTTGGTTCCTCCGTGAAGCTCTGAGTAGCTACTTGTCCCATCCCCCTACACCCATTAGAGATGAGGAAACTAAGACTCAGAGAGGATGAATCACATTCTCAAAGCTGCGCGGCTCCCACGGGCCAGAGGTGGGCGGCAAACCTGGACGCCAGCAGTTCCAGCTCCCAGAGGCTCTCCCGTGTCCCACATGAGCCCTTGGCTCCCCATTGGCTTCGCCTCTTGTCTCTGTGCCTGGCTGCCTGCCCTCCCTCCCCCAGAACCCTCCCCCAATAACAGACTTTTGGTGTCCCCTCCGTTGTCATCGCTCTCCTTCCAGAAAAGGGACCCAACCGGAAGGCCAGTTCGTGTTAGGAAATTCCAGCCACGTGAGCCAACCCGAGCCAGGGATTCTGAGCAGCCAGTGGCTTTAGAAGAAACTGAAACTTGGTTTGCTGGGGGCGGAGTGGTCACCGGGGATTTAAAGAGCTGCCACTTCCTTGAGCCCCCAGAGGGCACTGGGAGGTCACAGTGGCAGAGGGACACCCGAACTGAGCCTCTGCCCGCCCCTTGCCTAAGCCATGCACCTCTGTGGGGGCAGTGGGCTGCTGACCAGGACGGTGAGTACAGGGAACCAGGGACAGGGGATGAGAAGGGGAATAGGGCCAAGCGTCCCCAGTTCCCAGGCAGGGAGGGGCATGGTCAGAGCTTCTAGTCCCAGCTCTGTACTCACAAGCGGTGTGACCATGGGATCCACATACCCCTCTCTGGGCTTCAGTTTCCCCAGGTGATTGAAGTGAGGGCTTTCCTGCTCTCATAGTGCAGAGCCAGGCTCCCGTTTCAGAATGTGGCTTCTGAATAGTGCTGTCTCCTCACCCACCTTCCCCTCATTGCCCTTATGGGAGCATTCTCTTCCCTCCCCAGATTCTCTGGTGTGGCTCCCCTTGGAGTTCCTGCTCCTGTCCCAGGACCCAAGTACCAGAAGCCTACCTCCTTCTGTCAAGTGCAGGTCTTTCCCCCAGGCTCCAGTCTCTTCGCCCTCCCAGAACCTGCGATGGACCTCTTAATGACCATCAACTGAGCAACATGGAGTTCTCAGCCAGGAAGGGCAGGGTCTTGGGTCCCGTCTGAGCTCCCTACAGTCAGAACACACTCCCAGAGTGACCTAGGGGAAGGGGGATTTGGGCTGTGGGGTCTCCAACATTCTCTCTTGCCCAACCTTCCAAAACGTGGGGCATTGGGGTTAAATATTTTGTCTAAGTTTCACGGACCCCCTAATGTGGGGTCCCGGGGAGGAGGAGGGGCACTGCTGGGAAGCTTTGGGTCCACTCATGCATTCCTTCCAGGTTGCTGCCACACAGAATGTCAGCAACTTGAGGGCTGGGATTTTTGCCTGCTTGATTTGCTCTTTTGTCCCCCTCACTCGGTGCCTGGCACACAGTAGGTGCTCAATAAAAATCTGTTGTGTCACTGAATATCAGCTTCGGGCCTGGGCTGGGCCTGGGCTCACGGAGCCGAATCGGACCCTGGCCCTGCCCTTGCTGATGAAGCTCATGCCTGCTTTGTGGCCCTTGTGCGGATGAGGCAGCTGGGCTCCAGAAGGGAGCGATTTGCCCGGAGCCGGATGGCTGCTAAGCAGAGTGTAGGCGTGAAGTCCGTTCTGTCTGCATTCGAACTGAGGCTTGGGGCTTCTCCGTTCGTCCTCCCCCACTGTTAGCTGTAAGCAGGCCGTGTGGGTGAGGCAGGTGTTCCAACAAGGTGTACCTGCGAGCGATGCCGTGTGTGGGGCCTCTAGGAGACAGGAGACCCTTGGGGAATTGGATCGGGGAGAGTGTGGCTTTACAGATGGCCTGGACAGAGGGTGCAAGCCCCTGCCGGGACCCCTGAGCCCTCTGCCTCACACCCTGCAGGACCCCGAGGAGCATCAGAGGCTGAAGAAGAAGCAGAAGAACCGCGCAGCCGCCCAGCGCAGCCGGCAGAAGCACACGGACAAGGCGGACGCCCTGCACCAGGTGGGGGATGCCTTCTCTTCCCTACCCTGACTCCACTTTCCTGGCCTGGCCACCTCTCCTCCATCCCTATCTCCACGCCTGTGAGCGGCTCTCCCTCCACTGCTGTATGTTTCCAGGTCTCCTGAGCTTGAGAGAGGTGCTGAGTACAAACTGTGCCAGACCTGCGCTGGGCTCTGGGGACACAAAGGTGTGTCCGCGGCCCAGCCCTGCCCTTGAGGCACTCGGGATCTAGGGAGAGGAGACAAGCACTCACCCTATGAGAAACTCGTTCAGGGTTAAGATGCGCTGCTTTAGAGTCCCAGCCATGGCACTCATAGCTACAAGTCACTTCCTTCGCTGAGCTTCACTGTCCTCATCCAAAAACGGGGACCATAATCCCTGCCCACTGGCAGGACCCTTGTGGCGACTAAAGGAGGCAAAGGAGCCCAGTGGGGTTGGGGAGGGCTCCACTGTACTTGCCTCTTAACCTTGGATGGTAACTTGACCTTGGATGGTAAGCTGACCCTTGGAGCTTTTCTTCTTCCTCTGTGGCAGAGAGAAAGGACATCACCGGTTCCATCCCAGGGAAAGGATTCAGAGCTGGGCTCAGGACCTGGCCCTTGGGAAAAATGCTTACACCTTAGTTCTTACAGTGCAGAGTGAAATTCTGCAGCCCTGCCTGCCGAAGGCCCTATGCTGTCTCCTCCCCTAACACCCCACACCCTGTTCTCCCTGTTCCTTCAATGGCCCCGCACATCCAGCCCAGGGGCTCTGCAGAGACTGTTCCCTCTAGCCTCAGGCCACAGTCCCGCTAGATCCTCACTTCTTTCCAGTTGTTTGGTTTAAATGTCACCTCCTCCGAAGGGCCTTTCTAAACCACATGATCTAAAGAGCCGGCTACCTGTACTCTGCTCTATTCTTCTTGTTAGCCCTGAACTTACATATTTGAGGTCTATTGCTCGTCTCCCTCACCGGACTAGAAGGAGCATGAAGGCAGGGAACTATTTTGTCCTCTGCTGTTTCCCCATCACCTGGAGCAGTGCCCGACAAATAGAAGGAACTCAGTCGTGCCCTGTGGAGCGGATGATGGAATCGGAATAAAGTGCTCTAGGAGCACAAAGTGGGGGCAACACACAGTGGCATCAGGGTGATAATGGAGATGGAGTCTGAGCTGGTGTTGAAGGATGCATAGGAGTTTTCCAAACGGATGAAGGTAGGAAAAGGCCTGCTGGCAGATGAAATAGTGCTGGCGCGGGCGTGTGTGAGTGAGGACCAGGATGGTGCCCGCCTGGCAGGGTGGAGACTTCGTGCATTCATGTGTTCACGCCTCCTAAAAAGGCCTATTGAGTGTCTCCCATGTGACAGGTACAGTTCTCAGCATCGGCAATACAGCTTCGAACACAGCAGACAAAAACCTGCCCCGCACTCTCCAGGGCTCATATTTTCATGGGGGAGCCAGACAGACAAATAAATTATCCGTGGGGGATTGGGGATGTCAGCTGGTGATAAGCGCTGTGGGGCCAAATACAGCAGGGCAGAGGCAAGGGAGCGGGGAGGGTGGGGTGACGGAAACCTAACTGGGGAAGCCTCCCCTGAGGAGGTAACACGTGAGCGGCCTAGAGATAGCGAGGGAAGGAAGGACTGAACCAACAAATGACTCAGTTTCTGGAGGAGAATTGAAGCCTGCGGAGAATTTAGGTGAGAGGTGACCTAATGCCATGTTTTAAAAATATCATTCCACATGCAGAGACCAGCCTGGAAGTAGGGCTGCTAGGGGTTTTGAGGCCTGTTAGCATTTTGAGTTCATGCTCTCAGCAACATTTTTATGTAAAACATCCTTATGGCTTCCCCTTTGAAAAACTGTCCACAAAAGGGGCCTGGGTGGCTCAGTGGGTTAAGCGTCCGGTTCTTGGTTTCAGCTCAGGTCATGATCTCATGGGTCATGAGATGGAGCCCCAAGTGGAGCCCGTGTGGGGCCAGTAGGGCCCTGTGCTCAGCAAGGAGTCAGCTTGAGCTTCTGTCTCTGCCCCTCCCCTGCTCACGCAGTCTCTCTCTCTCTTTCAAATCAATGAAAAAAAGAAAATAAAGAAAAGATAAATAAAAATTGTCCACAAAAGGGGTATGGTAGGGGAGGGAACAAGAGGAAGTCACTCAGCCTTAGGAGCTGTGGAAAGAAAGGTCTTTCATTGCTGTCACTATAAAGGGTCGTTTAAAACTGCACACTATCAGTGGGTTCTCAGAACCCAGAGTCCAGCAGAACAGAACTTACCCAGATGCTGATTCGGGGGTGCCGAATAGAACATTCCGGTGCTGCCACCCTCTGAAACACTACCCGGGGCTCCTCCCACAGTGCCTCCGTGAGTCAGTTCTGGGCACTAGGGAGATCTGACAGGGGCATGGAGCAGCCTAGAAGTGTGCGAGACAGAATGACCTCCAAGCTGTCATGAGAAGGCCACGTCAGGATTAGCCCAGGGGAGGAGGGACTGGAAGAGCGTGCAGGCAGAGGAGACAGGAAATGTGGTGAGGAAGCAGAGTCCACTGGAGGGACAGGAAATTAAGGGGAGCAGGAGAAGATAGATATCCCAGAGAGATAAAGCTGGAGGTGTGAGCTGGGGCCACGGTGTACAGGGAGGTGTGGGAGCCTTTAAAGGACTTGAACTTGAATGTACAGTTGATCCCGTAATTGCCAAACTGTCCCTCTGGGCCAAGAGAACAGGGTGGTTTCAGGGGCGCCCCAGTCAGGACGCTGGTGGAGTTCTCAAGTGAGTGGAGGTGGCCGGCTGGTGGAGACCAGCTGGCCCAGGGGACCGGTGGTGAGGATGGAGAGCAGGCCAATCTGAGCCCCAGGAGGAGTGGAATGGGCAAGAGGGGCTGGGTGGTTGTGGAGAGCCGGCCAGAGAGGAGCCAAGGGGCCCTCGCTGAGACATTTGGATGGCAATATACCTTTCCCTCTAAGTTAAGGACGCTAGGGACGGGGTACAGGACTCATGCTGGCTGACATCCCCTCCCCCACCCATCTGCTTCTGCCCCCAGCAGCACGAGACCCTGGAGAAACACAACCACGTGCTGCGGAAGGAGATCCAGGCCCTGCAGGCCGAGCTGGTGTGGTGGAGCCGGACCCTGCATGCGCATGAGCGCCTGTGCCTCATGGACTCTGCCACCTGGTTGGCTCCAGCGACCCCTGGCTGCTGGGGCCAGACCGAGCGGCCCCCGGACCCCATGCTCCATGGACAACATGGCTGCCGGGAGCAGCGGGGCCTGTTTCAGACCTCAGTCTCTTCTCCGTCGGCTCACCGGCTCTCTCCAGATCCACAGCCTCATAGTTCGCCTGGCCTCCCCCTGTCCCCTCTGCCTTCTCTGTCCCTTGACTCCACCCAGGTCACTGCACCTCCTGCCCAACTGTCCCCCAGCCCTGTCCAGTCAGCCTCGCCCACTGGCTCCAGCCTGCCAAGGCCTTCCTCCAAGCTCGACACCCTCCTGCCCGGTCCCCCGGCCCAACCCACCCCTCTACAGCCCCTTGTGATGGAGCACCCCACCAGAGGGAAGCTGGGGTCCTCACCTGACAGCCTCTCAACTGCTCTGGGGCTGGCCTGCCTGCAGGGTGGGGAGCACAAGCCTGCGGCGTTATCCGCAGCAGATCAGCAAGGGCTGGGTGTGGATTCCAGCCCTCTCCCACTCTTGGCTTTCCCCCTGCTCTCCTCTGCTCAAGTCCACTTCTAACCCATCCCTGGGAGCCGAGCTAGCCCCTTCCTTGGGCTGAAGTAGCAGCCTCAGCACATAGGCATCTCCTCCTTTACCACTGGAGTTGCCTTTCTTGGCTGACCAGCTGGCCCAGCATTTCACCAGGAAGAGAACGTTATCACTGCTGCCCAGCACTTCCAGGCCCTGTCACCGCCATTATCTTATTTCCACTTCATGGTCATTCTGCAAAATCCAGATGATCACACCACTTTTTTAGATAAGGAGACGGAGGCCAGAGAAGCCATGTGACATGCCCAAGGTCACACAGCCTTTTGGGGGACCTGAAACACCACCATCTATTCCTCCTTCTCCTGGTGGGATCCTGGCCCGGGCACCCTAGGAGTTGAAGTCCTAGAAACTGGGGGCTGGTGTGAGGTTTATGTGCTGGGAACGGGAAGGAGCTCTTTCTTCTGGTTTGTGACAGAGCCCTGCAGTTCCTGAAACCTCACCCTAGCTGGGGCTAGTCCAGAGTCCAAGCCTGGATAGGGAGAGGCCAAGCAGGAGCCCGGAAGTGGACTCTTTCTTCCCTAGCAGTGTTTTCAGTGCCAAGGAGCTGAACCTGTGGGTTGGAGTTGGGGAGAAGCCTGGAACCGTCCCCCCAGGGATTTCTGCAGGAGGGGCACCCATAGCCATACCAAGACCTCTGGGAGATTCTCCAGGGTCAGCTCCCCAGGCTATTCCCAAATGGCTCCCTGCCTCTCCCAGGCAGGAGCTCAGCTGCAGTATCTACTGGGGTAGGGGTTGGTGGGGGGCTGTGTGTGGGTTCTCACTCAGACTCAGGACAAGCTCTGTAAGGGGCCCGAGATGAGAAACCCCAATTCTTCACCCAGATTTTCACACACATGTAAACAGACACTATGCTAGTATTTAACACACTCCAGGATGCTGAGCACAAGTCTCAGCACACATGTTATGGTAAATAAATTAAAATGTTTTCCAATTCTTTTTGCATTGGCCCGTTCTTTAAAGCTCTGATTGTGCTCGGCATGGTTGAAACTGAAGGGCCTTTGAAAAAAGAGGTAATAGTCTAGAGTTTAGAGGTGGGCAATCCATCATGGACCTCCCAATCTAACCCCCTCCTCAAATCACAAATGAGGAAGCTGAGACCCAGAGACAGGCTGAACTTGCCCAGGACCACACAGCTAGACCTGGTGTGATGGTTGCAGGATTGTGGGTGGTGCCAGAGGTGGGGTCACCACAGACTCATGGAGAGCAGACAAGGTGCTTTTGATTGGAGGCCAGCTGGAGTCTGGAACAAGAGGTGATACAATGCACCATGGACCAGGACTCAACGAGGAGCAGGGTGTGTGTTTGTGAGGATATTGTGGTCTGACTTGTGTCCATATACCCTAAATATAGTCAGATACTGTGCTGTGTTTTACTTGGGTTAACTCCAGGTTATGCCTCTAATATCCCTCAATAACTCTGTGAGGTAGGTATGGATATTATTCCCACTGTCCAGAAGGGGAAACTGAGGCCTGGGAGTGTTAAGTAACCAGCCCAAGGACACATAACCAGGAAGTGGCACAGACTTAATGCAACATTAGGAGCACTTAAACACAGACGATCCTGCCTTCCCCCTACCCCATACTCGTCCCATAAGCCCTGCTTGAAGGGGCCGGCATGTACTCATAGATGTGACCCAAGGAGTTAAAACCCTACCTTGAGCTCAAAACATAAGAGAGGGGAGTGATTAAATTAACATTGGCGCACTCCTATAATGGGCTGCTGAAGAGGTGCGAGGAATAAAGAATGCTTTGAAGAATAGTTAATGAGATGGGGAAATGCTCACAACACATGGGGCAGAAAAAAATAGAATGTGTAACTGTCACTATAGTTTGATATGTTTATTTAAAAATAGAAAAAGAAAAGGAGTAGGAGGAGATGTTGTAGGATTCTTGAGAAGGGATATGAGCTAATATCTGTGAATCCTCAAATTTGTAAACACAGCTACTGTTATAGCATGAGGCTTCCACATAGTTGAATATATCCTAGGAATTTAGATCTGAGTGTATCTATCACTGCACAACTAATTACTCCAAAACGTAGTGGCTTAATTGACAAATGTTTTATCATCTCACAGTTTTTGTGGGGCAAGAATCTGGGCACAGCTTAGTGGGGAGGCATCTGGCTCAGGGTCTTCCACAGGCTCCAATCAAAGTGTTGGCCAGGGCTGCATCATAAGAGAGGTCATCTGGGGCGGGGAGATCAGCTTCCAAGCTCACACATAGGCTGTCTGCGGGCCTCGGAAGGTCCACTTCCGAGCTTACTCACAAGGCTGTTGGCAGGCTTCAGTTCCTTGAGGGCCCCTGGACCAAGGACCTCAGGTTCTTGTAGGCTGTTGGCTGGAGAGATTAGTTCCTTGCCACACGGGCCTCCCCACAGGGCTGCTTGACATGGGAGCTGGCTTCCTGCAGAGCAAGAAAGCTAGAGAGTGAGAAAAGGTGAGCAATACAGAAGCCATGGAAATTTTAGAAATAACATCCTGACAATTTTACTATATTGTATCCCCAGCCCATGCTTGAGGGGAGGGGATTACATAAGGGCGTAAAAACTGGGGGGGGGGGGGCGCCTGGGTGGCTCAGTCGTTAAGCGTCTGCCTTTGGCTCAGGTCATGATCCCAGGGTCCTGGGATCGAGCCCCACATCAGGCTCCCTGCTTGGCGGGAGGCCTGCTCATCCCTCTCCCACTCCCCCACTTGTGTTCCCTCTCTCACTGTGTATCTGTCAAATAAATAAATAAAATCTTAAAAAAAAAAAACAAAACTAGGTGGGGAGGGCGCCTGGGTGGCTCAGTTGGTTAAGTGACTGCCTTCGGCTCAGGTCATGATCCTGGAGTCCCTAGATCGAGTCCCGCATCAGGCTCCCTCTGACTCTCCCCCCTCTCATGTGCTCTCTCTCTCTCATTCTCTCTGTCTCAAATAAATAAATAAATAAAATCTTAAAAAAACAAAAAACAAAACTAGGTGGGGAGATTATTGGGGATCATCCATCAGAGAGGCAGCCTACCATCCTTGATCAGAACCAGAACTTTCTTGGATCCCTTCTTTTTCCTTTTGTCACCAGCATAGCAGGTAGCTAGCTCTCTTTGGGGAGGTCATTTTTCAGAAGGAAACTATTTTGGCCCCTTAGTAGCAATGACAATACCCCCAGCAATGATCTGGTGGGTTTGGGGTTGCAGCAAGGTCCCTGGCTAGACTCATAGCCCCAAGTTAGCCTTGCAGCAAACACAATGCAGACACTCCCTCCTCAGAATGACCTTTGAAGTGATGCATGGACAGTCAGTGCTGAGATCGCAAGTATGTGCAGGCCAAGAGTCTTCTATGCTTTGAAAAATAATCACTCACTGGAGGACTAAAGTTTAAACTCAATTTAAACTCTTTTAGCTTCTGAGATTCACCTCTGTACTCAGTTGAATGATGGCTCCTTAAAAGATATGTCCACCCAGAACCTATGAATGTGACCTTATTTGGAAAAAGGATCTTTGCAGATGTAATTAAGTTAAGGATCTTAAGATGAGATTGAGATCATTGCGGATTATCCAAGTGGACCCAAAACTTAATGACCCATAAGAGGAGATCACCAACAATAGGAAGATAAGGTGCAGAGGAGAAGGCCATGTGGAGACAGAGGTAGAGATTGAAGTTAGGAAGCCCCAAGCCAAGGAACATCTGGAACCACCAGAAGCTGGAAGAGGCAAAGAAGGCTTCTCCCTGTGGCCTTCCAAAGGAGCATGGAAGCAGGGAAAACAGGGAGGAGGCTGTTATAGTCATGCAGGTGAGTGATGATGGTAATCATAACCAGGGTGGTAGTGGGGAGGTCGTAAGGAGAGATCACATTCAGAGTAGGCTTTGTAGATATAGCTGATGGGACATGCTCATGGATTGGATGTAGGGAAAGGGAGGAAGGAAGGATGATGCTGTGTTTGGGCGCCTGAGTAGTTGGTTGCTGGTAGTTCCAAAGAACAAGAAAGATTGGAAGAGGAGCAGTTTGGATTGTGTGGGGACAAGATCGGGAGCCCTATCTTGGCAATGTTAATCTGAGATGCCTATTTGTCATCCAACTAAATAAAAAAGAGTTTAGAGATCAGGGTAATGTTCAAGACTGGGTATATAAACTTGGAAGCCAGCAATGTAAAAATGGATGAGTAGACAATGGGGACTGGACAAGGTGACCTCTGAGGGCCCTTGTAGCCATGACTCTATGAGGACTTCCTTTTCTTCTGCCCCCACTCTCTCAGCCTGGCACTCCTTTCCTCATCACCCTGGCATGCCCAGAATCTGCCCCTGTCTTTTCTCTTTAGATGTTTTGTTTTTTTCCTCTAGGAAGTCTCCTATGATCTTCCAAGATAAAAATGACCCCCTTTTCCTCAGACTCCGTATCCACCAATCTATCATTTTCTTCCTTGCGTGACTGTGCGTTCCTATCTTTTTGTCTCCCTCAATGGCAGCAACCAGGCCGGCACGTCATGAGTACTTTTTTCTTTTTTAAAGATTTTTTTTTAAAGATTTTATTTTTATTTATTTGACAGAGAGAGACACAGCGAGAGAGGGAACACAAACGGGGAGTGGGAGAGGGAGAAGCAGACTCCCTGCCGAGCAGGGAGCCCGATGCAGGACTCGATCCCGGGACTCCAGGATCATGACCTGAGCCGAAGGCAGTCGCTTAACCAACTGAGCCACCCAGGCGCCCTAAAGATTTTATTTTTAAGTAATCTCTACACCTTATGTGGGGCTCAAACCCACAGCCCCAAGGTCAAGGGTCACATGTTCTACAGTCAGGTGCCCCAACGTCATGAATACTGTTAAATGGCCCATGCATTGGGAGGCAGTAAAGCATGATGGTTAGAGAACTTGAGCTCCAATGCCAGACAGGATAGGATTCATGTCCCAGCTCCACTACTTCCTGGCTCAACATCTTCAAGCCTCCATTTGTCATCTGAAAAATGGGAATTGAAAAATGTATCACCTTTACCACCCACTGTATATGTGTGTATGTGTATACATATTCATATATATATGTATATATAATATCTTATATATTATGGAAAAGCATATGTTCACCTAAAGATAGGAGCAAGAATGTTTCCATCAGCGATATTCCAGAAAACTGGAAACAATTCAAATGCCCCATCAGCAGTAGAATGAATAAATTGCGGAATGTTTTACACAAGGTAAGGCTACATGGCAACAAGGGTGAATAAACTACAACTGTCTAGAACAATACGAATAAACTTCACAAACATAATGTTGGGCTATAGAAGCCAGACCCCAAAGAGAAGACAATCTGTATGATCCATTTATATAAAGTTCAAAAGTAGGAAAAAAGTAATCTATGCTGTTAAGAGTCAAGGCAGTGGTTACATTTGGAGGATAGCACCTGGAAGGGGAGATGAAAGGCCTTCTTGGGTGCTGATAATGTTCTATGTCTTGATCTTTGTTTTGGTTCACTGTATGAAATGAATTCACTGTATGAAACTTGACTAAGCTGTATGTGTATGATCTGTGCTCTTCTTCATTATTCTGGTAGACTTCAATAAAAAGAGGCTAAATGTAAGGAGCATATCACAGTCTCTGGCACATAGTAAGTACTCAATAAATGTTAGTTATCATGAAGGAACCAATGAAAGAACCCTCACCTTGCCTTCCAGTGAAATACACTAGCAATCAGAACCATGGACAGGTCAGAGTCTGCTCTCAAGGAAAGCTGAAGGAAAAGCAAGTGATCTTAGTTAGGTCAGCTACCAAGGATTGGAAGCAGGTGAGAATCTGAGACCTTTGCTCTTGGACTAGTGGTTCAGTGCCTTTTGGGGGCATCCTACAATGCAGGAAGGAGACTATTCCTAGGGGACTGTGGGTATCTGTGTGTGTGCTCATGCAGAATTTCATTCTATTTTAAAAGGTCTGTAGCCTCTTGTTTTTCTAAGTGAGTGAATACTGAAATC